GATTCTCAACTTGTAATGGTTCTTTATGATTAAATAAATAAACGACACCAATCTAATTGTGGGATTAAAAAAAAAAAAAAAAAACAAAAAAAAAATTGTTAAAATGATATTTTAAAAATAAAAACTATAATATGAAATAATAAAAGTAATTTAAAAGTTATTATTTTAATCATATTTAAAAAACTCTTGATATAAGATGTAATATAAAAGATATAATTTTAATAATAAAATTTAAAAATAATATGAAACTATTTTTTTAGATAAAGAATTAAATTTATTAATAAAAATAAGTGACAAATTAAATAAATTAGATTATATTTAAATACTTGAAAATATTTATTACCTTTAATTAATAATGTTTTTAATTAATAAAAATTTCAAAAAACAATAGAATATTGACAAAATTATTTAATATTGATTGACGACGCGACTGAGCCAATCGGATAGATTAATTTTGATAACTAGTATGGCTATGGTTCAACTAGTTGAAAAAAAATGTTTGCCTTACGAAACGCATTCAAAAGGAATATTTCTACGCGTATTTTTCACCCTGCCTTTACCAGGCCCGTTCTCGGTGTGTCCAAAAGAGTTTTAAGTTACACCAGGCCAGTTTACTCGGACTCCGCTGTAGATTATACAGCGACAGGCACTATACGTAGTAAAACTCGGTCGCGTAAGATAAAAGAGAACGTTACTAGAGTCTCTGTATGTATCATTATCGTATTATTGAAGCATTTAATATTTACTCGGACGTTTTACTGACCACATGTTTAGCACCCCGCCCCTTTTTGGGAGGCTAAGGCTGTCGTTGGTGACGAAATCACCACTCTTTCGCTTAATGATTATGAAAATAAATTTTTGGTGATGGTGTTCTACCCTTTTGATTTTACCTTTGGTAAAATTCTCAGATTGGCATTATCATAAAAACGCATTGATAACACATACTTACCTATTGAATTATGTGCAGTATGTCCTACCGAGTTGCTTGCTTTCTCGTAAGTACATTTCCTGTCAAAGAATAATGCAACATTAGCGAAAATTTTTTTAACACTCTATCGGTATTAATATGGCAGGGATCGACTCGAGGAATTTCAAGCAATTAATACTGAAGTTGTTGGAATTTCGTGTGATTCTGAACATTCACATTTCGCTTGGAGGTAGGTTTACGATTTTGTGGATTGATTCACATCGATGGTCATATTTTTCTGATGAAAAAAAACTTTGAATTGTACTAGTAAACTTCCTCGAAAACTTGGTGGAATTGAAAACATCAGGTACAATTTTATGTTCAGGTGATGTTTCCATATATGACAGATTGACATAACCATCTAAATTAAATCACTTATAGAATTCCGTTGGGTAAGGCAACCATTCAATTCGCTTTCATGTTCAAATCAATGAGGTGATCATGAACAGTTCTAAGGAATTTGTTTTAGTTGCCGACTATTCAAAAAAAATCACCGAAGAGTACAATGTCTTGTTTGAGGAGAAAGGGATACCTCTTAGGTATGTTGACGGTTTAATTCGTTATTCCTAAATTATAAATATCGGCTACTTGGCGTAATAGATACAAAAAAATGTATGTGTAGGGCGACCGTTATCATTGACGACAAGGTAATTTAATCCGCATATGATAAACTATGTTATGATCATATTTTAATGTATTAAAATTGTTTAGGGTATTGTTCGCGTGATTAATATCAATGACACGGAAATTGGTAATAATTTTATTAAGAATTTCTCTTGCTTTGAACTTCGGTTATTTACATTGACGCACATATTCAAACAGGTCGTTCCGTTGATGAAGTCTTGCGTCTTGTAAAAGCCATTCAGTTCGCGAATAAGCATGGTGAAGTCTGTCCAGGTACTTGATCCATCATCACCGTTCACTTTTTGAGAAAAATATTAAATTATTTTCGTGACTTCATTTAGTGAACTGGAAAGAGGGAGATGCAACAATTGTACCCGATCAAAAGAAGTCCAAGGAATACTTTTCCTCGATGAATTAGCACGCCACGTCAGTCTAAATCGTTGTAGATTGGTTGCGTGACCATAAGGGATAATTATTAAATAAAGATAGATTGCGTCAATTTTTATTATGCCAACTCTCGATAAATCTACACATCCTTGTTAACACCGAATCATGAATCATGGAATATTCTTCTTTTACTTCTTTATAAAGTTTTAAAGCAAATTCCAGATCATCATGATCTACACAGCCTTTAATCAAAATTTTGTATATTGAGGGACTGGGCTTAATTTTAAATGTTATCATCTCGATGTAATATCGTTTGGCTTCATCCAGTCTGCCAGAATATGCAAAGCCTGATATTAAAGTTTTAAAATATCTACGCGTGGGTCTCACCCTTAACCTTTTAACAATTCGAAAATTATCTTTGGCCTCGGTATATCTTTTTTGTTTAAAGTTGATTGATAGCATCAGTCCGTAAATATCAATATCTGGAGTTATGCCATAACTTAGCATTTCTTTATACGCAAATTCTGCTCCAACTAAATCATCACAGTTTATTAATCCACCAATTAAGGTTTTGTAAGTATGTACATTAGGTTTAATCCCATATACACCAAAATTACTCATTATCCTTTTAACGCCTGCTACATCTTTCCTCGCAAAGAACCTTGATAGAAAAGTGGTCAGCGTGACAACATCCGGTTGTATATTGGACTCTCTCATTTCTCCTATTATTTCTATCGCTAAATCATCGTGTTTATAGTACAACAATCCGCGGACTAAAATGTTATAAGTCGATAGATTTGGTTGAATTCCTTTTTCCCTCATCTCTCTATAAATTTTCAACGCCATATCTATTCGGTGATTCCAAAATAATCCATTAATCATGGTGTTGTATAACTGTTCGTTTAAAGGAATCTTCTCTTCTTTTACTTCTTGAAATAGTGCGATCGCATTTTGCTCCTTTTTGGCCTTCAAATAGGCATTGATCACTGAACAATAAAGAATTATATCGAGTTTAATATCTTCACTCTTAATTTTGTTCCACAAACTTTCTACTTTGCAAATTTTACCACTACTCGAAAGCGCGTTAATCATTTGGCTGTAAATCGTTGCCGTGGGCTTAAACCCTTTCTCTATCATATCGTTCCATATCCGCATCGCATATTCATACTTGTTGTTTTTTATGAATCCCGATATGTACGCTCCGTAGGTGTGTTCGTTAGGTTCCACTCCACTCTTCACGATTTTGTGATATAATGAGAATGCTCGATCATCATTTCCGTGTTCGATCAATCGTCCAACGTGTGCTGTGAATTGTTCGGAATTGGGATTGGTACGTTTGATCATTTGTCGATCCAGCAGACGTTTGGTTGTGATAATTTCCCCGGGTGTCAAATATTCGTGTATGCAATACAAGATTCCGTCGGGCTTGAAATGTCCCAGTTGAACATTGTCCAATAATTTACTTGCTCCTTCCGTGTTATCACATTTAATGTAAGCCGCGATAACATACACAAGGTTCCTAGGCAAGATGTCAATTTTTCCTTCGCTATATATTTTGATAATTTCTCTTAGATTGTTTGTTTTCAGGTAATCCTTGAATGACTCTTGCTTGTAATATCCAATGATCTGCGAGATCTGCTTTGGATCCATTCCTGCTTTTTTCAACGTTCGTGTCAAATCTTCGCGTATCATTCTATCCGCCTCCAAATATTCTATCGATTCTAATCTTGTCAATTTTCTCCGGAATTCAAATGCTTGCTCGAGACTATTACAACAGCTATTGTTACGCAGGAATTTTTCGGCACCTACAAGATCTTTTTCTTGAATTCTCCTTTCAAACTTCGAATGCACCAGGGGCCTGTCCACCACCAACTTTGGAAGATTCTTGCGAGTGAGTTGCACGAGCGTAACCGCCTTTGAAAGGTGAGGCGTGAACTTCCCCGAGCGCGTGGTTGAAACCGATCTTGTTAGCGGGACAGTCGTAAATATGTTTTCCACATGCTGACCACAGGTTTTGGTACACATTCTCTGCATAACGTGTTTCATCGAAGTGTTCAAGTATGTACGTACATTTTGCGTAAATCATCATATAAATCATCATATTATTGTCATCGTCCAACCAATCAAAACTAGGTGATCTCGACGATTGGATTTTATAAGCCTTTACGCTAGGGTACGTGTATTTATATGTTTTAAGACGTGTTAATTTTTGCAAGTAATTTGGTTTCCATTTTGCGCGTTATTTTATCCCTTCTTACCTTACAATGGTCGAAGAGCAGAAGCTTTCACCTGCCGCAATCTTCAATTATGAAGACGACGAGCTAGCTTTTCGTTCCCCCATGCCTCTTCACATTTCGAATCCGACAAGAAGCGCTTCTCTTCCTTCATCCTTCAGAATAGGCTCGAATGGCTCGGCCTTTTCGGTACCTGACTTTGGTACATACTCTTTCCACGACCAACCAAGCAGAGTGGATCCCACAGTTGAAAATCACATTTTTGCTCAAAATTCTGCTTTTTTTGGTTCAACTCGAAATTCTCAACACCCTTTTGATATTGGTGACGCATTACATTACAACACTTTAAGTCAATGCGGGCTTCCTCCGACCGAAAATTCTTTGCCTTCGCCGTCGCGAACAGTTTATCGAGCCGCGAATACCACTCGGCTATATTATTCCAGAACTCCAGAGCAACTTTTGGGCGAAGGTATAGCGCATCGACCGGATGGATTAATACCTTCTTTTGTGGGCATAAATAAAATCCCGGATAGCAATTTCCCTAATTCTTCGACGCCAAAGTCTGTGGATCCTCAATTTTTATTTTCACACATGCGTCATGCATCACCGCGTCCTGGTCCAAGTTATATGATCCCATCATCACACGTTACCTCCTCATCCTCACCTGAATTTCGTCGTCCGATTCCAAAGAGATCTTGCATGGAAAACACCTTGACACAACTTTCTTCTATAGGAGGCTTACGGAATGCGCCATATGTTTTTCCGAGCGATCAGTTTACATCCAAAAATCCGATTTCGGTCACCCCATTAGAATCACAGGATCAGCTGAATAGGCAAAATGATTCGCAACCTTGTCACTCCGTCACTGAACCATCATCGCGGGATGCCGTTTCCGCAATAGAAACAAGTGACGAAGGTAATTTAAGCAACAATCTTCAACCAGGACAATCACGCAATCCACCACTCATAAGTATATTAGAGATGTTGGGAACGAATTCTGGGAATAAATTAACCGTCGATCGAGATAATGTTGAAAAAATTTCACAATGCTCTCAAGACGCTTGCAAACAGATTTCGCCCGATGATAATGGCGTCTCGGAAATTGACGTACAAGATCTCGTGATGGGCTCCGCTGAGCAGACAGAATCGAAGGAACAAGATTCCACCGAAGATTCGTGTGGAAATGGACAACAAACGAAGCACATCTCAATATTTGATTGGCATTTAATATGTCTTCCTATACAACCTAAGCCAAATCATTTGCTTCCGCCTGGAGTTGATAGATGGATCGTGATTGAAGGCGTAATTAAGAAGGGCCGTCAACACTTTCAATGGCATACGTCATTGATCGTGGACCGGGTGAGCCGGATGCTATTGAAAACTTTAAGCGGAAAAACATATAAACTTGAAGGAGAGCTAATGATTGATAGCATGATGAATTATGGATTTTCGCAAAAATGTTGTGAAAAATTCCGCGATGGGTTTCCTGATGATTGGAAAGAAATATTATTATGCGAATTCTCGGGTGGTTTAAATTTGAGTTCAACTAAACCACCAGAAGAAGCTGTACATGGAGATGTAGATGGTCCAACAACAATTGCAAATGGCGAAAAAACCGGTTCGATAACGGTCACGAATGACGAAGCAAACGATATGATAACAGTAACGCGTGATACGGAAAATGATCCAACAACAGTTGGACATGACGATGAGTTAAAAGTCGCCGAAGATTTAAATCCAGAGGGTTACAATGATGAGTGTCATGCTGAAAATATTGATTCAGGAGGAAAGACACGTGAAGAAATGATGGATACTTCTGAAGCCTCGGAATCAACTATTTGTGTGCAACCAAACAGAAGCGATCGTGATGGTGTCGATCGTAACACTGACTTACATGAATTTGTGGATCCTATAATCGTCATAGATTCGATTCTTGACGGATCAATAGATGACACGCAAAACGTACTAGATATTCAAGACACGCAAAACGTACTAGATATCCAAGACACGCAAAACGTACTAGATATTCAAGACACGCAAAACGTACTAGATATCCGAGACGCACAAGATGCTCAAGAGGCACAGGACGTTCAAGAGATTAGGGATATGCAAGACATTCAAAATATGAAAGACATTATAGATTATCAAGAGATTCGAGATGTTCAAGAAATTCGAGACATTCAAGATGCGCAAGTCGGCAATAAAAAATTTGGTAAAAAAAAAAAAAAAGAATTAAAGCATTCATTGAACAACATTTCCAAGAGAGGATCAAAGGTTGTGGCTATAACCTCATCTGGGCGCCAAGTTCGTAGGCCAGGCTCGTGGTGGGCAGTTAATCCTGAGCCCAACGAAGAGCTGGGAGAAACGACGTCGAAGAAACGGAAGTCAACTGGTACGCGCCGTGAATCAAAACGAAATTTGATTTCAAACGCGAGTATGCTAACCGGCAAGCGTCAACGTAACGAAAATTTTGTATAAGTATTCAAATGGTAGCGATCTCTTTGTCACATTAAACTTTATTTTATATTATTATCACAATTAGCTGGTATCTCTGCCGAAAATAAAAGAAAAAAATAATATTCTCTTACGATGGAACCTCTACAAAGATCGCGTTCTTAGGTTCTATATTAAATACATTTCATAATTGTAATTTTTAATGTGCTGTTAATCGCTTCCTTAAAAGATTCTTACAACATAAATATAAATTTATAGATCTAATCCTTTTATCCTTTTAATAATAGAAGTCAGCATGCGTAAATTCCACATGTTTTGCACGCGGCTAGTGACTGAATTAAGAAATTACATGTATCTATAGTAGAAGTAAAAAAACAAAAACAAAAAAAACCCCGTTTGATAAATAAAATGTACGAGCCGCACTCGTCTAATATGAAGGTGACTAATTTGCTACCTAAAGTACATAAGGAATTGGCGCGTCGTTATCTCAACTTTTTCAAGTTGAAACGAAGTGATGCATTAAAAATTAAATTTTATGATTACTTTTGTACTGTGGGAAGAGATTTGAATTCTCAAATCAAACCGATGATCATTCGAGAAGACAATGTTTCTTTGTTCGACATCATTGTGCTTCTTCGCGTGGCTTACCATCTTCATCAATAATTAGTAATGTTGTGAAGAGACGCGATTCTCAATATCACTAACGCTTATATTTGAGATCGGTTTAACCCTTTTGCTAATGGATCGTTTACATTCTTTTTTGGAAGAATTATATCACCTACGCGGCTCGTAAGATCATCCAACGAATCATCTTTAACTAAAGAAAGAAACTTTGCAAGAGTGCCAGCACCATACTTCAGTGGAGGTGATGAAAATTGGTGGCTGGTCGCGTCATCTTGTCTTATTTGATCCAGTGTTTCTGAATCGAAAACCTTCTTCGTATCAAATAGAATGTTAATTGAAGCAAGCCCGCCCGAATTCTGCAGCTTTTCCACAGCACATTCACATTTCTCGAGCTCCTGGAGCAACTCCTTATGTTTCTGTAGTTCTTCAATTGTTAAAAAATATCGCTCTTCAGGTAGTGATATGAACTGTTGTTGAATTAAATATTTCTATTAGGGAATTTTAAAAACAAATGATAGTGGAGGGTAGTATGGACTTTTAGGTGAACCGCAAGAAACATTTGAATCAATGAATCACATCTCCAATACAATACTGCTGTTTTTTTGTTACCATTGTTATAAAATTCCTTGCTGCTGTATCACTATTCTTAGTAATTATGTAATGCAATGGAATTAGACGATTGATTTTTGCATACAACGGAATTAAATCTGCTATAATACTTGAGTATTCTGATTTTTGTTGTTTGGTAATGTTTGTGATCAGCGTCCGATTCACTGCGTGACGAGAACAAAAAGATTATTTTACGATTCAATACCGTTGACGCGTCTAACAGGCAAAACCACGAACCTGCAGAGTTTCTTACATCAGTGTCGATTTCTCCAACCCTTTGGAAGGCCTGCTGTAGTTGTGTGTTGTTAATGTGAAGCACTGTTTGAAAAGGGGACGGTAGTATGGAAAAAGAAACCGAGTTGTCTGCTGTAGGCATCTGTGAGAGATATTTTGAGGTCAGAGGCATCCTGAGCTTCTTTCTCGGAAGATAGAAAGAATTCGATAACGATTAAGTTGTTGATAAAAGATAATGAAGATCGTGTATTACCCACGTTGTGTGATGTTACTGATACGTGGTTTCTAGTCATGTGTGATACAATTGATACGGTTGCATTGTAATAATCATGTGATTGAATATGAAACCTTTTTTTCATTTCATTTACAAAAACACGTAACTATACCATACGATGATAGAATATTGCATCTAAGGTAGTGTTACTATTTCATTCAGAATGAACAAATCAATCTCAAAATTCATTGATCTTTAAATGACAACAATATTAGACTTGATTCAATATCTACAGCATGTATTGTACCTTAATCTTTATTAATACAAGCATTTTACGATATACTTAAACAGCCTAACTCAAAAAAAAAAAAAAATCAAACTTGCATTCATGTACTGTATCTAAAGTTCAAATAATGAAAATTAAATAAATTGAAAAATACAGAATATATTTTCATAATTCAATGAATAATCAATTGATGGTTTTTATTGTAAAATAATAAAATGCAAAAAAGAATTTTATTTAAATTTATATTATGGTATATATAACATATATATGAATTTCATCAATATTTATATACGTATACCTTGTTTTATTATTATATTGTTTTATCAACTTAAAACACTTGTTTTTTTAAAGAATTTTTTATCTTTATTATTTTGAAATAATCCTATTGATCTCAAAAATAATTAAAAACGATTATTTTTTATTATATTTCCAAGTTTTAAATTAAAACCTTATCCTTGATCATGATAAGAAGAATAAAATGTATTGACAAATTATACAAATCTTTGAATTTTGTTTAAATTTAAAAAAAATTTTTTTTAATGATAATCAAAATAAATAATAACTTTTATTTCTTTATTTGTATTTATATTTGTTTTTTTGTAATTTATATAAAAAAGAGTATTATAATTTATAAAAATAGTTTGTGAGACTTGATTTATTACAAGAATTAAGATTTAAATCTTATTTAATTAGCAATTATTTACTTTTATAAAACATATTTAAAGATTTTGTATTATTAATAAGTAAGTTAAATTATATAAATAGATTTTGGTATTTGTTATAGTTGTTAATATAATTTAATAAAACATGTGATTTCAGTTTAATTGTGAATTAAAAAAATAAACTATAGTAATAAATTATAAACAATAAACTTAAATCTTTTTATAAATACAAAACAAAAAAAAAAAAAATCTTATTTATCTTTACAATCATATTTAATAATTAAATATCAAAGATGTATATTCAGGTATAAAATTAAATAATACAATAACTTTATGTATGTAAGAGATGTTGTTTCTTTCATGATGTATACCTTGTTATATACAATATCAAATAAAGAAATGATGTTTACCTACGGGGAAAACCCCTCCAAAAAAAAATCAAATAATACAATATTAGATATGAAAAAAAAATAAAGTTATAAAAAAAGTATGATAAACAAGATATACAATATACACATCTGTTTCTATGCTAATTTAAGAATCAGCTTTTTAATTTTAAAATACTAGCATTTGTTTTGTGTAAACAAAGTGATATCATCTTTATTTAATGACAATTTATTATAATTATTATTAACATCTTGAATACAAGAAGATGAATAGAAACAAATGGAAAGAAAGAAAAGATGGAATAGATAGATAGAAAAAAAAGAGGAAGAATGAAAAGATTGATAGAAATAATAAAAAAGGATTAAGATAAAAAAGAAAAATGTGATTTTTTATTTTATTATTATTATATTTTTTTTATTTTTATATTTTCGCTCAAGTTCTTGTCATCACCATAACATTTTTGGTGGTGACTGTGAGATCGAACACTATCAACGACACTCATTCCCCCCCCCCCCCCCCGATCTACGATTTTATTCTATTTTTATATCAATCAACCAATAAAAAATTATATATAAAAGTGTATTCAAAATCCGTTTATACACGTGTATGACACCATCCTTTTTTAAAACCAGTTCAACAATTCTAATTCACGCTTTTTTTACTTTCTTCACGTGACTAAGATGTTTATCACCATAAGATCAAATGACTCGTTTACACGTCGCGACGCAAATTTTACCATTTCGAAACAACCAATCCGAACTCAACCAAAAGGAAATAATAGTAAGGCACCCAGCTGCTGCGATAGAAGAAGATCAAAAAAAAACAAGAATATATTGATTACCAATCTTCGGAGGAAAAATGCCGTCCGATGAAGGAAGTTTATCAGGAGCCTCGAAACTTGTGTGGTTTTCGTCCTCAGAAGTACAGAATAACAATTTTGATGATTGTTCATCGTTATCTTCATGGGACGATTGGTCCGACTTTGACGAAAGTGATACCGATTCTCTCTACGTCACGGATCTAACAACACTGCCATCGAAGGATACATCTTCTTGCTCAATGTTTAGTGTACTAAAACAGGAAGACATGAAGCTCATATGTCAATCTTCTCGGGGAATAATGCCCGAATCACCAAAGCTTCTAACGAAGGAGTCATTTTTAAATAATGAAAGTCAAAAGGATCTTTTGCCCATGCGTGATACGCCGGGAAATCCGTTGCTTGGTTCAAAGATCGAGCGAAATAAAAAAATGGTGACAGAAAAAGATTTTGCCCAGGTTTTTCGGGGAAGGAGATATCCGGTCCCACCAAATTATTACGATTGCAATGACCAAGATGATTACTACAAAAGTTCGGATATCAAGCCACGGAATCTTTTGCCTCTTTTACTTTCCGAAGCTGCCGCCGCTTCCAAGTCCGTCTCACCTAATTCGACTAAAAGACACCATTGCAATGATGAAAACATAGTAAATCCGTTTCTTACGGACACATTCGAGGAAGAAGAGGAAGAAGATGAAGAAGAAGATGAAGAAGAAGATGAAGAAGAAGATGAAGAAGAAGAAGAAGATGATGATTCTTCTTCAGAACGATCAAGGAGTAAACGCATCACAGATTATGTAAAAGGTTCTAAACGATATCATCCTTATTCGAGGATAGTGACTTTAAAAAAGTGAACCGATTGTGAGATCACAAATGCTATAGTTTCTAAGTGTGGTTCAAACAATCTTGTCAACAAAATTTACTTGATAATAATAAAAAAAACTTTTTAGTCCCCGAAATGGAATACACGTCACTTATTAGATTTCTAGCGTAAAATAAATCAATTACATTAAAGAAACCACAAATTTGTTTTTGATCACATAATTGCAAGAGATCCCATCGGATCCCAGGCAGGCAAAACTATGGGGGATTGATTCAATATCGCCACATACTCTTTGGGAGCATCTTTCTTTTCGAGAACTATTTGATAAACCCAATCACTAAACCAATCATCACCCATGACGAAATAACCTTTTTCTCCACGATTTTCACCCCAGGAATTTTCAACTCTCCAACGAACAGGTACGTTGTTCTCGAGGTGCACACCTGTCGAAAGAACAAGTTAACAAATAAGATATTAAAAGAAAAAAAAAAAAGAAAAAAGTATCTTACCAGTGAAAACCATGGCGTGTGTCATCGAACTCTGACCATACTTTAATCTTTGATCTTTCGACAGATGAAACTTGATATTAAATCCCGCTTCATAATCGATAATTTTATTATCTAATATTCCCAACTCTGAGTCACTAAATTTTCCAACATCGGCCCCGAACCAAACCGGTTTTCCAACGCTCAAAGTTTGAACGACGAGTTTTTTCATTACATCAATCGGAACGTTAACATAGCGTATCGGAAGACCGCCTTGGACGTTGCCAAGATACTCGACGGTATATAGTTTTAAATAATCATTACGCGGATCATTGATGAGAGAAAATGTCTCTGTTGCCTAATTCATCCAAATATTCAATACATCATAAGAATTCCGACGCGACATTTGAGGTGATACCCATTTACCATTTATTTACCTTGTAATTAATGTACTCTCGATAGAATTTCTTTGGCGTCAATCCCTTGTACTCATAATATCTTCCGTCTTTGTCACGGAAAGTCCAATCAAATTTTTTAGGTGGTTCGCCGAGAGTGATGGCCATAATACGATAAATTTCTTCCATCATATTGACCTTAATGCGTCGTAAAGAATCGGCATCATGCCCGTCGGCGCGTAATTCACGTAGCTGATAGGTAAATTCTCGGAGTTTTGTTGTCACCAGCCAATTGAGTTTGGACGAATTTGAAGAGTTGTAGCTTTCTGGAAATACCTGAGTACAGAAAGAATTCATTAGCATTTTGTTCGAATCAGCTTAGCGTGTTTCAAGGGTTTCACGTGATCTCTGCTTACGGCTTTAGGGACCACACCGTATTTTTCTAGAATATTGACTATCATATCCCATTGACCCCCATCAGTCACCGGATCACGAATCAAATATTGGATCAAGCGCGAGTCAAGATCCTTATCAACAAGTTCGATCATGTTCTCGAGGAAAACTAAGAAAAAGAAAAAGTTTGTACGATCAATAAAAATGGCACCAATACATCAATTTAAAGCAAGGGATGATTCCTTATTTACAATTAGCCTTCTCCATCTTATCGTAAAAGAACATGAAAGGTTGTGATAATTCGAACTCTTCTAACCTATACCTAGGTAATAATATAACACGAACAACAAATAATTAGCGCAAATGTTTTTAGGAATACTCTTTTTAAGACCTTGAACCTCACTTTTTCATAACGATCAATCTTAGCACATTAGTAGCGGCGAATATCCAGCAGCGTCCAGACGACTTTTGGTTGGTCGCCTTGCCTTCTAATTCGAGTTTCTCTGAAAAGACGTGAATATCGTTGATAATGGTCTGTCGTAAATGCAAATCGGTTAAAAACGTTAATACTTTCTTCTTGTCCGTCTACACAAAAAACAGTATCTATCACCTTGCGGTTCAACAACACTTTATTCATGTCAGCACCCGAGATTGCATTCATCGCCAGCCTATTCTTGGTATCTGCTCCGAACTTATCGCTGACATGGAAAAGTCAGGGGTTAGAACTCCGCACTTTTTTAAAAGAGAGAAAAAAAAAAAAATGCTTCTTACGAAAACTTGTCCAAGAGTTCTTGATTCAGGACTTCACCCGTTTCTCCCTCATATTCATTACTACCATCTTCGAAAGGAGAATCCTTCATTGAAATATGCATGAATATTATTTTGAATCATATCGTTCCAAGAGTGTACGGAGATTTATGTCAACTTGAGTGTAACAATATACGTCATGATGCAATTGTTCATTTAAGATTAAAAATAGGACTCGGTCAGACAGTTGTTGTGTAGCACCGCACGTAGATTATTTGAATTAATTAAAAATTGATTATTCTTTTAATCGTAAGATTTGCACATTCTGAAAAATATGGTCTACAGTTTTTATCCAAAAGGTCCAAAATAACCGTAATTTCATTACGTTCAATATAACAGCCGGTAGGTGCGTACGTAAATCTCTTATTATTATTTAAAAGTGCCATTTTTGGAAAAATCCCAAAATATATTGCATTATACTCGTGTTATCCAATCATGTCGCAGTATCTGGCACACCTGAAAAGCAACCCTATAAAAACGTTATTAGAATTCAGATGTACAATTCCAATAACAACATTGGACTTTCCAATCTCACAATCAGTGCGAAATTCACAACCATAAAAGCTCAACCTGGAGAAGACGACTTTCCTCAACTTTTTCTCTTTTGAAACCATTGAATTTGGACTTGACAAAGTACTTATCTTTTAATGTATTTATTGAACCTCTTCAAAAACTAGTATAAACGAATAAATAAATAAATAAACATACGTTGGAAGGCGTGTGGTTTTTTCTCTGTTTTCTGACAATGGAGTCGTATTCAATTTCTAATGTTAACTGTTGGTTGACATCCTGGCCGTTCGGCCAGTCCTTGACCGTGATCATTTTGACCGTTTGCGGAATATTCCTGACACCTTTCATTTTAAAGAACTCCGAAAAAGACTTGAACAGGCTTTCAGACGGTAGGTTGAATCGTGGTCTCCTTCGGCAACACCGCAAAAACCAATAAATAACCTATCTCTCCAAAATGGAAAATTTCGTTCCAACTTTCAGAAGAATCATTCATTCAGAATAATTCCAAAAATGTTAATGTACGAAATAAATCGTATCGAATCATCCATGTCCCTCACGAACTTGGATCAAGCGTTCCTATGATGGTGTTCATTCACGGGAACGGTGGACAGGTTAGGTCTTTTCTAATACCTTCCGTAGTAACAAGATCAATAAAGTCATCATTCGATTTTACCGAAATTTTATTTATTTATCTATCTATCTATTTATTTATTTAAATAAGGCGGCACAATGGGAACATCAATTAGAATACTTTTCCTCCGCTGCCAACGTATTGGCCATTGATTTGCTTGGTTGCGGAAAAAGCGAAGTGTCAAACAGGTAAGGGTCTCGTTACATCGTAAACTTGACTCCGGTCATCGCCCTAACATTTCTTTTACCCAAAGACCTGATGATTATAAAACCGAGTCTCTGCTGGACGACCTCGAGGAATTATTGAAACTATTTCCAAGCGAAAACAAAGTCTTGATTTGCCATTCGTATGGTTGTTGCCTGGGCACGTTTTTGTATCAACGAATCAAGAATGACGTTAAAGCCATGACCCTTATTTCGGTAAAAGCAAAAATAACTGATACGGAAACAAAAAAACTCGGAATCATTAAATTCTTTCCCGATGCTTTTTTTGATCTATTCCGCGCCTTCGATCGTCGCAAGGGAATATACTCCCCTAGCGTTAGTCGCGTATTACATAATGAGGCGAACCCTCTGTTGAGGACCAAGCAGCTTAGGTTGAATAAGCAATCAAAGACGTTCGTCTGGAAGAACATGATTCTAAGATCGAAATGGATTGTGGAAGAAGATATCGCCAAGATCGAATGTCCAATATTACTATTGTCAGGGCAAGATGTATGATCGTCTTATGTTACGTGTCTATTTAAATTTTTTTTTTTGTGGATCAAAAGTTAATCACATCGGTTTATTTTTTTGCAGGATAAAATCAGCTCCAAGAATGATATGTTGACGGTTCATGAGTGGTGTAGATCTAAAGACACTCCTGTACCCGTAGTGATCCCTCGGGCGGGACACAACTCAATCATGGAGAATCCTGAACTGGTTAATCGAACAATAAACAATTTCCTTATTAAGGATTGCGGTCTGAAGACTATGGACCCGGCCTGGCAGATTTTGAGTAAAACAAAAGGAGAAAATAAATGGTCCATGAAGAACTATCAAAAGGTGTGCCAGCGAGAAAATCAAATTCATGTTGTCAGATGTGTTGACCATGAGGCTCCTAGTGTACCTCGAAACACGCAAGTTTTCTTCATACGATGAAATTCTTGGTTTGACGCGTGAATTTTTCTGCCTTGTTTTTTATGAATGAGAAACATGTTGCTATACTTTAAGTTGATCTAACCAGTTCATACCATTCTCACATTCATCCATCTGTTAGTGGAAACGTGCACCTATAATATCTGATCGTAATGTCGATCATACCAAGTTCAGGCCTATGAAGGTAAATAGGATTCAGGGGTTTCTCGATGTCCACTATTAATGTTGATTGTCAAGGTCATGCGCTCATCTTTATTCGTCCATCATAGGTCATGAGACAAAACGATGATGAACATTGTCCTGCAATACTCATTGATCAACATCCCGAAATTGGATTGTACGTTTTAAACCCACTCAAATTCTTTTCGCACTCTCCACCTTTTACTCGTGATTAACTTTCATTATACTGCATACAACCTTTATATGGAATAGCGTTATCGACATAACCAAAGATCCTCCACCTTATTGCACGAACGACTTCGAAAATTCACACATCACTTACTTTAAACTTAGCACTATCAGTAAGGTGCCTCCTTCACGCGACGAAACGCGACGGTTCATACAGGTGGCGAAAGAAGCATGGAGCAAAAAACCAGACAAACAAATAGCCGTGCACTGTCATTATGGGTAATTTTCACTTGATTTTTCTGGTTACATATTTATCCAATGCTTGCGTGTGCTAATGAGTTTTATGAAAATAAGCTTCAACCGCACCGGATTCATGATCTGTTGTTATATGATTGAGGAACTAGGTGTGTCTGTGACCGATGCCATCAAATACTTTGAGGAGGCAAGACAACCTAAAGGAATCAAGTATGCTCTTTTCACCTGCTACTTCCATTCATAATACTCCGTTTTACATATTTATCCCGTTCCAATTTGACATCCCAGGCATCGACATTTCAAGGAAGAATTGTATTTGCGCTATGAACCGCCACCTCGTCTGGATTCGTCCCATGAAACCCATTCTGAAAATTCCTCCGGTTCTGACTGTTAGTATTCCAAGTAAACTTTCGGAATTTATTTAATTTATGGTGAAGCCACGTAATATCTGTGATTTTTCTTTTTTGTATATTATTTTATTATTTTATATATCAACATATAATACACTCTCATCTCACACACATTCATTATGTATTCTGATTTATTATTATTACTGTGATTCATATTAACTCATAGAAATGATTTTTTTTTCTTGTAGAAAATTTCCTTATTTCTTATACATATTTTGTTACACTTTGTATATACCTCTTATCAATAAAACCTATGAAGTATATGCTTTCTTTATGACAACATTCTTTTAGTCTAAATATTCTTAATCTCACTTCGATATTTACTATGTATACGCGCATGTAAGCTTAACTAGGTTACAATTATCTTAATATATTTTATAATTAATTACCTTTGCATAAATCAATTCCAAAATTCCGTTTACTTTTTAAAATCGATATCTAAAAGGCCTGTGCGCGTGACTAATGAATCAAGATTATATAGAGTGAAACCAAAGCAATCATCGGTATTATCAAGGTATCGAATATTTACAGTACAAATTTGATGGGAAAACGTATCTACAGTATATCCATATTAATTATAATTTAAATTAAATTATTTAGTCACTAGTGAGCAAATCGGAATTTAAAACAAGATGGATCACAGATTAGATTTAAAATAGTTACCGTATTTGTTTAAAATAATTAAAAATAATTAAAAATCCGGAAATGATCAAATAAGATAGCAATAAGTCATAAATCATATTTTGATTTTAAAATAAGAGAAAAAAGAACAATTGTACAGTATATTCATGACTTATAGTATATACAGTCATTAATCTATTATTATATACGATTCGGTTTTTTTGTATAAAAAAAAAAAAAAACCAAACATTTTTTTTATTTACTAATATCTTAAAAAAACAAATATAACAAAAATTCTTTTTTTACATTATTTTTTACTTTGTGAAAAAAAACATAAAACTTTAACTATAAATCGATATATGAAATTAATAAATAATCTAATATATAATATTTATCCATACATTGATATAATTTTTTTTTTAATTTATTCTCTTAAAAATTTAATATCTATCAATAAAAGTATTAATTTAATTGTTTGTTGGATTTTTGTTATATACTATATACTATACAGTATATGTTTGTTTTTCTAAATTCTTATATATTATATTTGTAATTAAAAAAAAAATTATATAAAAATTTTATTAATTTGAGATTTTATGTTTAACTCAAATAAATTAATTAAAAATATTATAAATAAAAATTATATGCTTGTGTTTAAGTAAAATAAATTTAATATTTTATAATTCAACATTAAAATAGAATTTATAATTTATTATTAATTTATTTACTAAAAATTAATTTCATTCAGAAATTGATCCAATATTTAATTACTTATTTAAGAGTTTAAGTTTTATTTATTAAAATAAAATATAATTACATATATTAATAATTTTATATTAACAATGTTATAAATATTTGTTAAGTAATTTAATATTTTAATAAAATTATTATTAAAGATTTTTAAAATATATATTTTTGAAATTTTTTACAATAAAAAATTTTTGAATATAATTATATTGTGAAAATTTTTTGGTATAAAAGATATCTATTAAATTGTAATTCTGTTTTATTATAATTTTTAATAAAATATTTTTATTGCAATATTAATATAATAATTAAAATTATTATAAATAATGTTTTCTATTTAAATTTTTGTAGACTTGATCAGTAAGTCTAATTATTTAAGATGTTTTTATTATAAAATTTAACTTTTATTATTATTTGATATTGACAAAGTTGTCATAAAGATTGCTACTAATTTAATTTTTGTAAACAAGAGTCTATTGTTTGTTTCTGCTTGAAAAATTTTATCTGGACTTAATTCATTAGTTTGAAGTCATACAATATTTATTTTTGTGAATTGATCAAAAATTTTTCTAATAATTCATTTATATATATATTATAAGGTAGTCGTGTCTTTTGAACACATGACATACTAAGTATATCCAACACAATACTTGAATAGCTGATTAATTATTTGCAATAGCAAAAACACAAAAAAGCAACTGACGAGATGGTTTGTGTTAAGTATTAATTAAAAAATAACATATATCTGGCTTGAATTAAAAGTGATACATGGCATACAAAGTCTTTGACTAGACAGTAATGTGAATGTACGTTTGTTCTGCTCTATTGATATTTATTTTTGTTTCTTACAAAGTTTGCTTGTAACTAGCACTATGTAACAATTTCTTGAATGGTTTCTCTAGTGACATAATAGTATAAAAAAAAGTCTCAGGTATTTATTAAGAAGCAAAGTGGAAAAGCAATACTATCTGACAAGCCATTAAAAATAAAATTCCTAGAGTCAATGTTCTACTCAAGACAAATTTTGCTAGAATGAGAAGTAGAAGTAAGTAATTGTTGATTTTCTGGAAATGTAAACCAGTGATTTTGGCAATTATTCCATCAAGGCACTAACCTTAACCTTATATCTTGGTACAAATGATTATAAAACGAAGTACATAACGGAGTCAGCAATGCATAATTAAACAAGGTCAAAGCATAATTCTTTGTTTTTTGTAAAATGAATATTGAGAGTAAGGGACTAACCAATTAATGATATAAACGATTAGG